GTAATTTGATGCTTATCGCCTGACTGTATAACGCTTCCTGACTTAATTGCGCATCGATCGTACGTGATTACATTTAAGCGACATTCCAGTTGTCGGAAGCAGCGGCGAGTGTTCTCGATACCCCAAATGTTGGTTGTAGAATGCCGGCACCAGATGTGTCGCACCTCTGTAACGATTTAACTTACATGACAGTTGTAGTCTCCTGTCAGAATAGAATAAGCTCATTTTTTGACATTGTAAGTGGACGAACAACTGACGTGACAGGACTAAGGGTTGTCCCGAATTATTCAAACAGGACGGGATGAAATACAACCATGCCTTTACGTTTATGCCCTGAGGACAATACATATTTACTTTTCATAGCAATGCGAGTATTGATTTTTGAATGACGTGCTGACCTTAAAACCTGATTGACTTGGGGAGGTTTAGTTATGTAATTTGCAGCACAATTCACTTAATTGGGAAGGCACATACATACCGCACACCAAGGCAAACATGCAGTTCTTTGGTACGAGGGTATGGAAGATTGCTTAATTGAATCGCTTATGAAGATTGTCCGTGCTGCAAGATTCAGATCGAACAGAATGTGCACTCGTTTGGCACACCCATGCAAGGCGTCAATGCGATTCTCTGGTTCTCAGTAAGAAAATAGGCTATGCTGTTGGACCGCATATAAAAATCAGAGTTTCATTTACCCTCGCCCTGATTCGCCGTTTTTCATAATACGATTGACAAGAGGGTCAATGTGGCTCCCTGCCGTTTCCAAAATAAGAAAGACAAAGCTTAGCATAAAATACCAGTGGATCAGCCTTAACAACATCTCGCAATTAGGATATTAAGTTTTATTTTGGGAGGTCAAAAAATCTAACAAATTATATCCGTTCAAACTTCAAATCTCCCCAAATGCCGAACTTTTTCAGGTTTACACGCTCCTGTATGAGATCACACCACGTAGTGACACAAAAAGTGAACAACCGTGTTCCTTGTTCAACAAGCACAATGGAGTGGAACTCTATGCGTTTTTAGCGTATATTTAGGATGTATGGTTCCATCAATGTCACAATGTCGACCCGCCGCGCGCGCCCCGCGGCATCGCCGGTAGCCGCCCGCTGCCCGCGCCGGCCGTAGATCGCCGCGCAGTGCTGTCAAAAGATTACGGCTGTTCCAAAACCAGAAATGCTAGGGACACGTTTTGGGTCTCAAAACACGTGCAGCAGGTGCCCCATAGAATAGTAAAAACTTGGGCGTGATTGCACTACATGCTAGAGAGGTATGCTAAACAAACCTTAAGGGGGCACATCGATCCCCTCCTTGTCAGGGCGAGGGCTAAAATTTGCGGTGGTGGAGGCAAGAGCTGGATTTTCCCTAGATGTGTCTGCTATGCAATTGCCTGCAGTGCTCTTTTAAGTGTTTTAAGCTCAATAAATACGCAAGTGCACAGCCATGCTCCCTACTCGCGAGTGGCGAAACGACGAAAACCTTTACGCATGAAATCGCTTCAATTGTTGTTTTTAACTCAGTCTAATGTGGATTATCGTCATAAATGTATGTTAGTCATTGCTGACATTCACTTCGCTTACCTATGCACTTGGCTGCACTAAGGAGGTGTTTTCCTGATCGCCTGGACGGAAATTGCGACCAAAATTTTCAGTTTCTCCCCTGAGTCCCGCCCTTTTTCCCTCATCATGCTGCGGTGGAGATGCGCCAAGCTGTGCAGAAGATGCGGGAGATAGCCTTGTGTGTCGTCACGCAGTCGCGCGCCAGTTCTAATTCGACGCTGCCGGTAGGCTGCGCCGCCGGACGCCTCCGCCCTCCGGGACACGGAGCCGGCGCGGCCGGCAGGGGTGGCTAATAAGCGATTATCGCTGAAAGTCTCGATGACAGTACGGAACTTAAAGTTGCTCTTAACGAATCAAAACCGCTCCTTTCCTCCAATCTGCTTATGCGGAGCATCGGAACCCACAAACGCTGCTTTGAGGCACAAATGCTCGCATGTTCTGAACTTCTTTGCGTTTCAGGACAATGAAGAAATACTGCAAACTAAGGGAATTGCCGCTCCCTTCTCTCCTTTTCGCTCCCAAGGTGCAAAGGGAGGGCAATACTGGCACCAAACACGGCTTTGGGTCTTGTATTTGTGGTTCTCAGCACCCCTCTGAGGCACCAGGCGCTTTACTCCACCCGACGACATTCACTGTCATGGACATGAGCAGCGTGAAAAAACATGCGAAATGATGATCTCCGTTACATGATGGAAACCATTATGCAAATGATGCATCACAGAGAAAAAGTATTTGGTTATCATTCGACCTTTGTCGAAGTGTGTGGTCGTAAGCTGTAAGCACAACGTTGCCGCATCGGTCTGCTGTACCCGTTCACTGTGCGACGGACCTCGCGTCGGCTTCGCAACAATGGCTAAACCCTCGGCGCGTTGAGGGTTAATCCCCAATCCTGTGACGTATCTCTCCACATATATCACGACTGTCGGTGCATGTCTTGCGTCGCTGACATTGTTATAAGATTTGTGCTGCTTGTTCATAAACAGCAAATGATGGTTGTCCAATTGATTATTTGTTCATGACTATCGACCGTTGTTAATGATGACCAAAAATAACAGGTGATGCACTCGTATCCGTCAAATTTTCGTACGTAATCCTAGTAATCCTAGCACATGCCGGGACTGAACCCTAGATAACTCCTTCTCGAAACATCATGCTTACAGCCCCATCACGTTATCAACCGGCCAATCACAGCGCCTGGCGGCCCGCCCTCCCGCTGTGCACCCCGCCTCCCACGACCAGCCGTGCATGCACTCTCAGATTTAATTACCGTCCGACAAGGTGATAGCAGCGGCTAATATGCCGCGCCGAGTACGACGTGATCCGGCGCGGCGGCGATAGCGGCGCTTCAAGGGCGCCGCCATGTTTGTCGGCGGCTCGGCGGCGTGGCGGCGCGATTAGATTCGCCGGCGCGCGCGTCAGTGGCGGCGATACCGCGCGCTGACGGATTTATGAAGGGCGCGCGCGCGCCGGCCGGCCCGTGTGGTCCGGATTAGCGATGGAGACGGCCGGATCAGAAGCGGGGCGGCGGCAGCGCCGGCAGCGCTGACGCGATAGGCGCCGGGCGTCAGGCCACGGCCGGTCGGATAACGGCGTCAGGGAACTTGTCGGCACAGCGGCTCCGTGTTTGAACGGGCGTGAACGCTCACCTCCCGAGTTTTTTTTTCTCGTCGGTGGAGCAGGCTCGCCCAACGAGCCTATTCTGGCAACCTGACCTGGTCATGTAGCCGCATGAGCACAACATGTTTCAGCTGATATATCAGCTGCTGATTTGGGAGGACATACAACGCGCCCAAAAGCTGGATCAGCTTGATCGTTGTCCTCGCCCGCTCCTGACAGGCGCTGTTTTCTCCTCAAGGACCCGTTACTCTCGCTCCGGCCGGAGACAAACAGCGCCCGCGGCCGTCACCGCCAGCTGACGGCCGCGGCTAATGCGGCGCGCACGTGACCGTACGGTCGTAACACTTGCGCCAAGCACCGCGGCCGCGCCACCGCTCGCCGCCACGGGCGCCAGCTGAACGCCGCGCGCCGCGGGCGCGGGCGTAAATGCCCTGTTGACACTGCCTGCTCACGCCTTTATTGTCGCATTACGGGCGGGCGCAGCGTCAGTCAATAGATCGATGACGGAGCGAATGGCGGCTGGCCGCTGGCCGCTGGGCCGGCCGGCGGACGGACCGGCGCCGCCGGCGCTCGCTGGGCCATCTCCACGTCAGGCGGGCGGTGTCCCGTGGCTCAGCTGACTCACAGGCGACAGTGGGCAGACGCTTCAGTCGGACGCTGCCAGTCGCCAGTGCGCCCTGGCGACAGCGGCCGGGCGCTGCAGTCGGACGCTGCCAGTCGCCAGTGCACCCTGGCGACAGCGGCCGGGCGCTTCAGTCGGACGCTGTCGGTCGCCAGCGCACCCTGGCGACAGCGGCCGGGCGCTTCAGTCGGACGCTGTCGGTCGCCGGTGCACCCTGGCGACAGCGGCCGGGCGCTGCAGTCGGACGCTGTCGGTCGCCAGCGCACCCTGGCGACAGCGGCCGTATGCTGTGGTATACGCCGACTTGGCCGAGCGAGTCGCCGATGTGTGCTGACAAGTCAGCCGTGAGATCGCCGGTACTAGAACATTGAAGAGAAGCCAAGGCCTCGGTTCACAAAGGCGTCAAACGATGCCGACGATGAATCATTCATGAGTAAAAGTATCCGATTGGTTCCCTGGACCATGCAGTCGCGTTAACCAAGATACAATTGCTCTTGCCTCTAAAATGACAAGCAAACACAAGTGCAGTTCAGGGGTAGGTAGGCAAGACCTCACCCTTTCTTAGACCCGATTCTTTCATTTTTAATCATAGATGGATTCTGACTGATCAGTGTGGTGCGTTCCCTTCCTTCCCCCCCCCCCCCCCCTCCCCTGAAGAAAATCTTGGCTGCGTCCCTGAAAGCAAATATTCTGAAAATGCATCGCTGATTCATGAACATAAACTCTTACGTGCGGGGAAATGACAATGGAACAGTACATAAGACATTCTAAAAAGTACAAGAAAGCAAAAAAAAGCGTTTGCTCATTGCTTGAAGGCGGCGGCACACTAAGTCGCGAACCTTCCTCAGGACAGACGTTCTGGTGCACGTTATCATACCCAAGATGCACAGCTTCACCGGTTCACTGAGACTATCGGCATTACTTGGCCACATCCTCACATGTCCTCTCTTTTCCCGGACGCCTCGGGCATCGGAGTCAGCCATGTGTAGTCCGAACCAACCATATAGGTCGTCGCGTGTAATCCCGGCTCACCACTGTGAGCATAATTTGGACATCAGCTCAGCTGTGAGTATGTTCCGCCGCCATCGTGGCCTTCGCTCTACTCCCGCGTGATATCAGAGAGCTCGGTTCTGACGAGAGTGTGTCCTGTTACCGCGTGATATCAGAGAGTTCGGTTCTGACGAGAGTGTGCTTTGTTGCAGGCAAAACCCGCACAAAGGATAAGTACCGCGTGGTGTACAGTGACGCCCAGCGGCTGGAACTGGAGAAGGAGTTCCGCTACAACAACTACATCACCATCAAGCGGAAGCTGGAGCTGTCCAGGATCCTGGGCCTGACGGATCGGCAGGTGGGTGACACGTCCAGCATGGGCTACTGGGTCACACATGACACGTTGTTGTTATTTGGGCTCAAGGGCGCGTCGACTGCCGCGGACATTTTGGGCCCAAACTATTGCTGGGCAGAACTATGTCGTGTTATGACATACAGGTTGCTGTTGCAGCACATTACGCGTGTTCGAAAAAGATCAGTTAGCTTTTTAATGTTGACACCAGGTACATCTACATCACTTGGACATGTTCACTGCAGGGATGCCCTCGGACTTTTCCACCGTGGACCGTGGTGCGTTGTTTTCATGCATGCATAGATTGTGATCTGGGTTCTGTTTGGTTTATATTTTATTTGAGCGCGGATCTTCACCTGCCGGTGATACTTCAGGATTCTAACCACGTGCCACGGTAGGCAGTCGGAGGAACGCAATGATGTATCTGGATCAGTGGTGAAACGCAACAAATGTTCCACAAAGCCGATCCAGGAAGCAATCCCTAGATCGGTCAATCTATTTTGCCCCTGACCACCGCTGTTATCAGTTTTGGACCACTTTAATGCAATAATTTGACAAAATCCAATTTAGGGTTTGAAATGCAATGATCTCGTTTTCAAACATTTATGTCTTACACTGTTTGTATTAGGGACGCAACGTTTCAACCCGCAAGGCCACCGCATTTGACACGCAAAACCCCGCGCGCTTTTGGTCCGATTGTGGACAACGGTGTGCAACATATTGACGGGAAACGGTGCGCCACTCATTTTGTCGTGCCTTTCTTTCATCACTTAATTTGCCTAGCCTGGCTCACATGTCAATACAGCCCTTAGTTACAGCTGTATCACACGCGCAACTGTTATCGGAGCCGAATTAGTGGTGACGTAAAGTTTTATGACCGCGATAACAGGGGCCCTTATGTACGACACGTTTTACGCTTACCGCGATTGTCATTAGTTTTCAACGTATATGTCCTTAATTGCATTTTTTCTGTTATTTTTTCATCTCCTGCGATATTTTTATCTGCATGCAGGCATGTGTCACAAATTTAAGCTCTACAAATGACATCATTCAAACATTCAATATAGATCCGTAAGTTGCGCCAGCAGGCTTTGTCAAATGTGGACGCAGTTCGTCGACATGAGTTACTCAATTCTTATTTTTCTACAGATTTTACTCCAGAATTTGGTTCTATTGCAGGGTTTTTGTGGCCGTGCTAAACGTGAATGATATTGCTTTGGTGCAAAACATTCTTAGACAATATGTTATTGCCATGCTTGTATGCAGCATCACAATGGTCGCGGGATGGTTATCGTGGAAAGAAACGTGAATAGTAATAGGAGGAAAATTTGAATTATTTCAAAGATGCCACGTGGTATTATTCCACGCTGTCGCATGCTGCATCCCAGTAAGAAATGAGAAAATTTGGCGAGACATGAAGGAAACCACCTTCATTTAACAAAAGTCTGAGTAGAACTATGAAGCGGCAGATGTCATTTTGTCAAAGAGTAGTGAGCCATTTGAATGGGCTGTCAAGCGAAGTTGTAGGAAGCCACTCTCTGGAAACATTTAAAAGCCATGGGACAAGCTATTTTGGTCTAAAGATCTCATTTATAACTAAGTTTATGCAGGTCACATGGTAACATTAGTTTCGAGGATGTGTACGAAACCTGAACACGGCCAGCCTCAATGGATCCTTTGGCCCTTTGTTGGTCAGATGTCTTCATGTTTTTATGTCTTAAGGACAGCGAACGCCGTATAGGAGCCTGCATTCGTTCTGGAATGCGGGTTATGAAATTGCGGCCTTTGTGACGCATTCGAAGTGTGTGTGTGTGTGTGTGTGTGTGTGTGTCTGTGTGTGTGTGTGTGTCAGTGTACAGTGTAGTGAACCTCCCATGACTTGAAATATTCGCCATTTCTCTGCTCTTAGTGCAGAGCCATCGATAATGCATATATTTTAAGTGGCATTGCCTGTGGTTTTCTGTGGTGATGTACAAGGATAAAACCTCTGGTTTATCTTGGTGATAGACCGCTTTATACTCCACCCTCTTTCTTCTCATTAGTGGCCAGAAACTGGCATCACGGTGTTTAATGTATACTTTGGTTTCATACGAATTCCGTAGTCCAGGTACGTTGCTCGCTACTGTTCAAGCAACACCACTGGTTTAAATCAAGCAATGCTGTGCATTATACGGCACTGATATGATATTCGATGCGTTCTTTATGAATACGTCTCAAATTAACGAGGAATCACAAAGTGCGTAACTTACTTCTTGCGGGTTAATGTCGAGTTAGCACTTAAGCCTAGGGGGTTGTAGTGGGCTAGATCCCCAGCTGGCCGGGCCGGGCAGGGGTGCGGGCTGAAATTTTGGGAAAAGTTGCGTATCTAGTTTGGATGTTTCACGAACATGACTGGGATGGGTCCCTGGCTGCTTAGTCTATGGACGAATCAGCTTTGAGTGCATGATAGAAGATGACTGCGGCCCCTCCGACTCAAAGCGGTGTTGATCATAACATAAATGTTGATTATTCACGCCATTGGACGGATATTGCTCTTCATTAGCACCAAAACAGTCATTCCATCCCCATGCAATCCACGTTAACGTAAATGTCAAAGCCGTGGTTATAATTGTATCTTCCCTGCATGCACATACTACATACTGCAACCGCATGCATATTTTGGAAGTATTACTACTGACTAAACATAAACCTCGCTAAACAAGAATGTCATGGTGGGATCATTTGGAAAGAAACCATGACGTTAGATAAATATTTCTAGGCTGTGCTCTTTGGGCATACCAGACTGCTCGGTCCACTGGGGGTCTTTGTACTAAAGTGTACAGCGCAGCAATGAATCGACACCGTAATAGACACTTCGATCCCGACTGCCCCCAAATATCTCCCATGTGCGACGCGCGAGCCACTGGCACGCCAGCGATGCCCGAGGCCGGGAGAATCTTCGTGGGAAGGCCGCCGCGGGGTCGGCCATCTGCCGAACGGCGGCAGGCCTGAATCGCCGCCCTGTGCCTTCCGGGAAGCCCGGTTTGATCCAATTCGGGGGAGGAATGTCGCTGGGATCGTCGGAAAGCGATAAATCGAGCGGACGTCTGGACGGTGCGCCAGCTCGGGGCGGCGGCGGCCGGGGTCCACCGCACCCACGTCCACGAGCCGACCCTGCGCGGCACCGTCCCCCGAAGCGCGGCTGTGACTGGGCGCTGAATCAGGGGCTGATTCAGCCGGGCCGGCGGCGGCGCGACGCGACATTCCGGCGGGAGCGGCTGCCCTCGGCACGAATGTGGAGCCGCCGTTACGCGGGCGTTAATGGCGGGCGCTAACAGAGCCAAGGCCGGCGGCGGGCGCAGCGCCGATCTCACGCCGCCGCCGCGGCAGCCCGGCGCCCGCTCCGGGGGCGAGGACGCGAGCGGATGCCGGTCACGGCGGCTCGCTGTCCTCCCACGGGTGTGAGCCCCGGCGCCCGCTCCAGCGGCGAGGACGCGTGCGGGTGCCGGCCACGACGGCTGACTGTCCTCTCACGGGTGTGAGCTCCAGCGTCCGCTCCAGGGGCGAGGACGCGAGCGGATGCCGGTCACGGTGGCGCACTGTCCTCCCACGGGTGGGAGAGGTATAGACTTGGATGCCGGCCGCGACATCACCTTTCGCTCTTGCAGCTGAGGTACTTTTAACCTGAGCTCGGGACAAGAGAAGGCTGGAATGAAAACGACAAATGGTTGGAAATTTGAAAGTTTTCTACCATCAGCTGTGTTTCGGGTCCCCAACCGCAATAAGCGCGGAAGATTATAACGTTGCTGTTAATGGCCGCGGCAGTTGCATGCGCCATAAAAACCGAACGGGGCATCTTCTGCAGTCAGACACAGCATTCTCCAATAAAGACGGCTAACGCAAAGATGTTAGATGAAAAGACAAACCCTTCAGTGACAGACAACAGCTTCTTTGCCTCCATTCGTTCGCACTAATCATTTCAAGTACATGTCACATTAGTTCACCACCAACCATCCGTCTGTGCTGCAGGTGAAGATATGGTTCCAGAACCGCCGCGCTAAGGAACGCAAGCAGAAAAGACGGATGGAGGAGACGGCGAAACGGCAGCTAATCGACCTGCAGCAGCAGACCAACTCCTCAGCCGACATGCAGATGAACATCAACCATTCCCACCTGCAGGTCAGTAACTACTTTCCCCAGAGGTCCAGTTGTTTTTGTGAAAATAAATTACGGGCACTGAACGGGGGAAAATGTTTAAGCTTACCCTCCCCCAAAATCCGCTAAAATGGGTTTTTCCTCGGATTTCACGCACTGCCTCTCAAAGTCTTGTATGCTGGAGCTCCCAAAGAAACAAGAATACTATATTGTCGACGTTTCCCAGCAGCAAGTCAAAACCGTCCTTTCCTGCAGATCAGTGATCCCCCATCCAGCCTGCACGTTGAAAACTACCCCGTCGGTAAGCCAGTGATCTCCTCCAGACATAAAACGCCGTTGCATTTCGGTCTTCTAGAGCTAAATGTCATAAAATAAAGGCACAAACCTCTCCATTTATGGGTTGCGTCTTATGAACTCAACGACCAAAAAAGCATGATCTAGCTCACATGACCTATTTTTCAAACAATTTGGAATAGAAAGGTCTAGTAACATCGGTTTATTTCCTGCTTATGCGACGCAATTTAAACATCCCTGAGCTTGTAGATTTGGTGCATGTACGAAACTAAACCTAGGCCTGAGCCCAAGTCCATGCCTGGCAACCTTTTATCTCTGAGGTGTGTACAATGCCTTATTGAGATCAGCAGTCCTGAGGCTTGTGCTTCGCCAATGTTGCCATATACAGTCAGCAGCTATTTGCTATGACGCTAGCTTCTCCCAGTTCCTATTGCTCCTTACCACGAACCCGTTTGATCAGAGTTGCCATTTGTGTACCTTTAGATATCTTTGCCAATGTGTTCAGATGTTAACATAAAACTCGCGGCGATTCATAACAACAGCTTTAATGAGTTGAAAATTACGGCTAGATCTCCCAATCAGTTTTGGAGGGTGACGCCCGTTTGGGAGTTTCGCTTCTCGGTCAAGAACTCCCTGATTTGCCAGCTTAATAATCCCCGACCGTTCTCATGACTAATACAAAGTAGCTGTCGTAGGCATTGTGCGACGCGCCGCTACCAATACCCAGTTTCTGCGTTCCCCAACTCCAGAAACTATTTGTACGTTCCCCAACTCCAGAAACTATTTGTACGTTCCCCAACTCCAGAAACTATTTGTACGTTCCCCAACTCCAGAAACTATTCGTACGTTCGCCAACTCCAGAAACTATTACCAACTCCATTCATTGAGGAGTCTACCTCAACTTGACGCGCGTGCACGTAACATAAGACCAACGCCCTTTTCACCGACACCCATGCCAACACTGTGACGTCAGCGCTGCCCGGGCCCGCCAGCGCCGGCACCCATTGCCGGCCTGCAGACCGGTCTGCCGCGGGGCCTGCCGGACGCTGCTATCTCAGTCAGATCGCGTCTGGGCGGTGTCGGGGACCGCGGGCCGGCCGACCATCGCCGCGCCGGGCGGTGTCGGGGACTGTGGGTCTGCCGACCACCGCCGCGCCGGACGGTGTCGGGGACCGCGGGCCGGCCGACCACCGCCGCGCCGGGGCGGTCACGCTGCCGACCTCGAGCCCGCCGGTGGTCAGACGGGCACTTAATCGGACGGGCTCTGGACTGGTCTAACCGGGTCAGAACACACCAGATTCGGCTGCTATGCTTCCATGCTGATCAGAGGAACATACCAAAACTCTCCTTTTTCGAGGAGGAATGCTGAATGAATGGCGCACTAGAAGGGGATATGGCATGCTGGTAGAAGTTTGCGAATGTGCAGGTGAACGCGTCAGGTCAGAAGTCAGGATAGTCTGCGAACGAACAGCTGGGCGGCAAAAATGGTCGGAGGTTTGCTTTTTTCACGTCTGGATCAATAGGAAGGCATCTCCTGGAAGCATTAAAATATATATATATATATATATATATATATATATATATATACATATATTTGGACGTAAGCTACTTCATTTAGCTACAGCTGCCTGCATCGTTACAGCCGCTGCTTATAATTTTGTTGCTCACGTCACCCTATCACGGCGTGGCGCACGTCCTGAACCGACCCAGCACGGAGCCCTAGCCGTCTCCGGTCGGCACCGGTCACTCCATCCACCTGACACCGACCCTCCCCCACAGGGTGTGCACGGCCTGCTACCCCTGCACCGGCAGACGTCTGGAGCGGCGGCCGGCGCGGCCGAGGCCGGCCGCTACCCGCGCTACTCGGTCCCCTCCGGCCACCCCATGCACCCCGAGATGGTGGCGCCGCCCCACCCGCAGCAGCAGCAGCAGCAACAACAGCAGCAGCCACCGCAGCAGCCGCCACCGCAGCCACACCAGCACCACCCGCAGCAGCACGTGGTGGCGAAGAGTGAGCCCCGCGAAGTCGAGCCGGCCTTCTAAAGGCAACCGGCGAGGGGTGGCGGGGCCGGCGCCTCGGCCGGCGGAGCCGCGCGCTGATATTACGGCGGCCGGCGGCGGACGCTGCCCCCGCCGGGCGCCGGCCCCGCAGCGGCACCGCAGCGAGTTGCCGCGCCGCGCGCGCCCGGACGCCGAGTACAACTGCCGTCGCGAGGCGCCGTGTGGACCCAGGTGCTCCGGTAGCCCTGCGCGGCGCGGCGGTCCCGCCGACGCGCCGCGAACGCTCCCAGCGTCGCTGCGGCGCGGCGTGGTCCGGCCGGTGTCGGCGTGTGACGCGGGCGCCGGGGCGTGTGGGGCGCGCGGGAGGCCGCGCAGTGATTAGCCAGGCGCGCCTGCAGGGGTGCGAATCTCATTCGTGATTGCGCCGTTCCGGTGATGGCTGCGGTGTCAGCGCTGCGCAAGTTGGATGTGTTCGCATCGGATGACGCTTGGTGGTGATGTGAAGACGGATAACAGGCTCGTGTGCTTGCCTCACCTTGAATTAATGTAGATACTCCAGCAACGGGAGACGCGCAAGTCAAGCGCCTTTGCTTTACTTGCTAAGCTGAAATTAGCAGTGCGCGAATTATCATTTCGTGGTAACGTTTCAGCTAAAACATACTGAAACAAACCGAGAGGAGATAAAATTGATGCTTTCCGTCAGAGAAGCATTGGCCTGGATGACGGCGTGGTCCTCACCGTTAACTTTTCCCAGTGAGTCGTTCTCGCAGTCAGGCCTGCTTATCCCAGTCCGGCTCGGGCCGTCCTCTCCAGTCGGCTCTGTCGCCGCCGATTCGACGCCGTTAGATGAGAATCTCAGTCGACGGCCCGGCAGTTTAATTGGCGGCGCCAGCCGAGCCGGCACGTTCTGAAACGCGTCCCGGGAGAGCCGGCGGTTTGGACGGTAATCGAGGCCGAAACGAGCGGCAATTCACGCGCCGCCCGGCGCATTGTTGTTGCGCGGCCGCCGCCGAATAGCAGAAATTAGCCAGCCCGCTCCGCCAGGGCAGAATTGATCCCCCAGGACTTTAGAAAATGAGCTGTCGCGCTGCGGTCGGCATCGGTTTAAAGGGCTCGAACGGAGCTGGGATTGACGGCAGAAATGTGACGATTGGACCACGGCTGGACCAGAATTAGGACTGTCGGGCTGGCTGGGACAGGCGTGTCGAGGCTCGACGAAGTGCAAGGTTGAGTCGTGCTGTGTGGGGTTAGGCATCAATAGATTTTGTCCGTGCTTGCGCCGCAAATTTCAGTGCCTTGTAGTGTTGACGAGGCACAATTTGTGGGTGTTTGTGTCATTGATGTGGTTGGCCCCGTGAACTGTTACATTCCTCGCTTGTTGATGTGCGTTGCCACCGCAATTCGATTTCTTGAGTTCAATCCGTTAATAAACTAAATTCATTTTGGCATATTGCACACAACCGGAGCATGCCATTTACATGTTAAACCAAGACAAATGTTATCCGACCTTCCGCACTGTTCCGCTCGGTCGGCCCGCGTGATGCCGCCCGCCTGGGCGAGTGCGTGTGCCTCGCCCGTGCGCGGCAGCACAAGCCCACGCCCCGTGACGCGCGCGGCAACCTGGCCAGTGACGCTTGGGGCTCGTTTCCGGAGAGCGGTGACCACGCCTGTTTTCTGTTAGTGTTAGTGTTAGTCGTGACCGCCGCGCCCCGACTGGACCGCCTGACGCCGTGCTGATCCGGACCAGATCTCCGCGGGTCGCCTGTTGCCCGGAGACGGCGGGGGCGGTGACGTCCGCGCGTCGCCAGTGACGGGTGAGGCGGCTGTCCGTGACGCTGCATGCCGCCGTGGGCCGCGCTGCCGTGCGTCATGCTCGCGTACTCTATTCAGCCATCGATCGCAATAAACAAGAGTAGCTGATGCGCTTGGCTGGCGCTGGGAGGCCATGCAGAGCTGGCCGGATGAAACTCGGCTGGATGGCTTCGTGAGAACGCTGACCGGGACTAGCTCTAATGCGGTGGCGAGGTGCTTCACAGGCAGCCCATGTCTGTATCCCAACAAGAGGGCAGCAATACCTACACCAATCAGTTGAACACTAACGGGGGAAGATGCGCCATAGGAACACGGTCATGCGACCGACAATAGCTGCAAACGAAGCCTGTGCCAGGGCAGTACTGAAGCGAGGGAAACAGAGTATCGGCAACGCAGAGCCAATACGCAAAGCATCTGTCACTCCCCGACCTGTCTGTCGGCCGCTGCATTACAACCAAACCGCACATACCCGCATATCACAAACCAGCAACCCGCCGCCCAAGCAGTCACGACATCCTTCCCGCCGCCCCCCCCCCCCCCCCCCCCCCGCTGCCCTGCCGTCGGCTGAGATGAAACAATGCGGCGGCGGCGGCCGGCCAGCGGCGCGGCCGGCTCTGACCGACCGCCCTCCCCGGACTGCCAATTAGTCGCCGGCGCTGGCAGCTTTATGGCCCGGCTGATATAGGGCCGACGCTCACACAACTCTATTTATACGTCACCGATAGAACCCGCCATTTTTATTGATTCTCTTTGATGCGGCCGCACCACAAACAAGATGGCCGCGCCGATTAAACTGTAATGTGGAGCGGCGATCTGTGAGGCGCTTTGCAGAAGAGGATGCAAGCCAAGGTGCTCAGTTGCGGCCTCAACACGAATAACGGTAGAACAGCCAATTGGGAGTGTGCGGCGTGAGTTACATTTCGGCGTGGATCGTCGGTAATAGGATGTTATTGTCGCCGGCCGTGTGCATTGCTGTGCGGTGACTGTCAATGCCACGGGAAGCGTCCGACACCGACGTCAAACAGCAATCCTCCAGAGGTCGGTGGAAAACCCGTCACCCAACTCCCTTGGAGCCTCTTAAGTATGTGTGTGAGAGGAGGGGGAACTGCAGGTCATCATCATCGGATCTGGCTCGTACCTATAGCCACAGCGCCTCGAAAGTTTGCTAGTGACACTGGCGTCAAACGGTAATCCTGCAGAGGTCAGTGGAAAGCCCGTAACCCAACTCCTTTGGAGTCTGAAGTGTGTGTGGCGGGAGGGGGGACTGCAGGTTATCATCATCGGATCTGGCTCGTACCTATAGCCACAGCGCCTCGAAAGTTTGCTAGTGACACTGGCGTCAGACGGCAATCCCGCAGAGGTCAGTGGAAAGCCCGTCACCCAACTCCCTTGGAGTCTGAAGTGTGCGTGTGGGAGCGAAGGGGGGGGGGGGTGGACTGCATGCTACCATTCTAGGATCTGGGTTGTACCTATAGCCACAGCACCTCGATAGCTTGTTGGCTGCAATGGAACTACCAATCGTCTTTTCTGATAATTGAGGTGAACCCATTAAAGTTTCAGCAGAAATGCCAGAAAGCGCTTAAAGACCAGTGCTGTACCTGTTTTTATTGCCAGTCTTACACGCAAGTTGTCACTGAAAATATGTGCCATTAAGAAGTGAAACGGTGTGCGAAAAACGCAACATATCTCAAATTCTAATTTTTACTCAGTTTTATTGTCTAGCATCATTTATGCATGGCTTATTATATTTTCTACGTGGCGTCCAATTTATGTGTTTTCGAAATTACTTTTAACATGAGTTCTCACCATTATCGTGATGTTTCACACGTCATGTAGTGAACACGACACTCCATAAATGCTGTAGGCATATGTTCCTAGGTCAAGTAAATAACCCACTAGAGCGAGCCAAAGATCGACTTTTTCTAAAGGTTAAGCTTTTCAGTTTTACATGCTCATATCTACGAGACAACGCACAGAAGCGACACAAAAAAGGAAGGAACAGACGTGTTCTCTGCTTGACTCTCAGTAAAATGTTATACATGTCTGCGTTTTGAGCACCCATCTATTACGCGGGGATCCATTAATGTAGAGCACGCCGCGCGCGATCGGCGGACTCGTCGGTTGCCGCCCGCCGCCGGCCGCGGATCGCCGTGCAGTGCTCCTAACAACCGTCGCTTTTCAAGGACCAGACATGCGAGGGACACGCTTTTGTATCAGAGCTCAGCTGCGCAGAGCAGAACGCAGAGCGCAGTTGATGCCCAGAGGAAAACGAAAATTTGGCTGCATTGCGCGGCATGCCGTAAAGGTGTTGCCAGGAAACGGCAAGGGGAGGGGTTCACATCGAACCCCCCCCCCCCCCTGTCAGAGCGAGGGTTAAGCTTGTATCACCGAGGAGGGAGGAAGCCACCGTTATTTGCTAATAAAAGAGGAGCGACACGATGAAAGAGCTGCAGTTATCGATGTATAGCAGTCAGTCACTGGCTTAAATCGAAAACAATATATGTCTTGCGGCTGAGCCTTACCTGTTTGCATTTTGCAAGCGTGCGAACAGCAATGGTTATTCAACCAAGGGGACAGGAATGTCTCGTTGGTGGTGCCTTGTTTTCCGGCAACGATGAAAAATTTTGTTTGCAGCAGTCTGCCGAATATCTTGAAGCACGGTAAGCATTATTCGAATGAGTTTTTCACCACTAATTTTAAGCCCGTTTAGCCACATCATATAATGAAGTGAGTCATCATGTTCCATTTAGCTGCTGGCTTATGTGTGCTGTGAAGTCAAAGCCTTCGACCTACCTTAATCGGCGCGTTTCCGCAAACCGTTCTATCCCTGCCCCATCGACTCATGACGGCCACCCGCTGGCGCAAGTCGAAAACAACAAATACCTCACGCCTGAGCCTGTCTTGTTTGAATCTTGCGGCCGAGCCAGCAAACGAGATCCTCTGTAGGAGCGAGTCCGGGCGCGTGCCTGATCCCAGGGGTTCAGCAATGGTCGGCAGTAGAAGTGCGTACCAGAGAGACCTTGACCTGAGTTCTCAGAGAAGGGTATCCTAGGATCGGCACTGGTGTTACGCTGCCGGACGGCGAGATGTTGCTGTTATGAGATCACTCGGGCAAGCACCACACAATGAAACACCATATAGCAGTCATGAGGAAATGATAATGAGATCATTCGGTGCTGGAGTTGGAACATCCGCGACCATTTGCATGCACATGCAGTGCTGAATTATGACCACCCAAAACATACTCAGCATTACCTAACAAAGCATACA